ACTCACGTCGTCATGCTGGCTTCGCGTGACGTATTGGGACTGCCCCCCCCCCCCCTTTGCTAAACCAGGCGTGGCCAGTGCGTGATGCATCCAGCCTGTGGGCTGCGAGTTTGACAGCTCTGCTGTAACCCATTATTCAAAAATGTACCTTTTCCAAAATGCCTTCCCTGGAAGAAAAGAGACCAACATCCCTAAGCCAAACTTCTGTCGTTTATAGTTACCTGGTGGCTATAAGAGGGAATCTGTGAGTTGGCTTGTTCAGAGCATCTCTGTTTTGGGGAAGATTGCCATAGAAAAGAAGCTCCTTCTCTGTGAGAATGGCAAGGATATTTTTTGTCCCATCGCCTGGGAGCTGCAAATAAGAACGTAAAAGGTGCAGCTGTCAGAATGGCAGCCAAGTTCACATATGCCACTGGAAAAATGCCCACTAAGAATGGAAGTGATGTTCCTGCTGGCATCTTGTAAAAAGTATATTTGAATAAAGCACATCACTAGGTATAGTGGAGTGACAAGTACCAGAGCAACAGAATCAAAGGAATTCTTGGACTTTGTATACGATTATCCTCTTTCTATTCTTCTTCTATTGATGTTATGATAATCTTTCTAGATCATGGGTGTCAAACTCGCTGTGTCACATTGCCGTCACATGATGTTTCGTGACTTTTCCCCTTTCAAGGCAGCTGGGGTGGGCGTGGCCTGTGCGTGATGCATCCGGCCTGCGGGTTGCCAGTTTGAGACCCTTGTTCTAGACTCAGAGAAAGCTGAGTTAGTCCACCTGGTCTAAGAAACATCTGTACAAAATGACAAACGCTTTCTTGAGTTTCATTCAAAGGCCTTTCTCAGCTATAACATAAATGCTATAAACTGAACACGAGACACAGAGGCATGCAAAATCTATACTATGATAATGAGACACACTCCAGCAAGAACAACTTTAAAAATATCTATATGTTTCCAACCTTCAAATGAGCAGAAACTATGCTATTAAAAACTGGGGTTAGAGAGGATCTAGGAGCTACAAAAAAGGGGAATTTGCATGCAAATTCTATGCTGCTCGCCCCTGATTTTAACATGAATTTGTCTTCCCTGATCAATGAATACTACAATTTTTTTCTCCCTAGAATCAATGCAAATCAAACCAGGAACCCCAAACTTACCTGTTCTGTGAGCCAGCCAATGTGCTTGATGTCTCTATTTCCTACAATGCCAAGTCCTGATTGTAAGGCCTTCAGCTCCTCTTTGACTCTTGGCAACAGAACACTAACATTGCTATGAATAGCATTGAACCAAGACTGGGCAGATGCTTCCTCTTTTGCTCGAAGGAACAAGGAGACCCGTCCATCTGCTGAGCACACTTCTAGGTACCTGCAAGATGAATTTTCCTTAAGACTGAAATGTGGGGAGCCCAAATGCAAGCTGTTGTCATAAAACGCCCAGCACTTTTTCTGAATTTCCACATCACTAATTTGAGAGCTGGTTGGCTTCTAGCTTTAAGTCAAGATACTGTCAATTTTAAGGCATCTCTTGGTTCAGAATCTAGGTATCAGCAGGACTGCCCACTCCTAGTACATTCTCTTCATATTCTTCTGTTTTTGGAATACCAATAGCACTTTGCAACAGCACTTAGACTTATCTATTGCTTCACAGTGCTTTGCAGCCCTCTCTAAGCAGTTTTACAGTGTCAGCATATCACCCCCAACAATCTGGGTCCTCATTTTACCCAACTCAGAAATATGGAAGGCTGACTCAACCTTGAGCCTGGTGAGATTTGAACTGCCAAATTGCAGGCAGCCGGCAGTCAGCAGAAATAGCCTGCAGTACTGCACTCTAACAACTGCGCCACCACGGCTCTTATGCATTCTCACTGATCATGGTTAGTTTCAGTTATTATCCCATGTCTCAGTTATTATCTCACTTTTTGGGGGCACAGTATTCTCCAGATAGCCATGTGGCCTCAGCTTGATGTGGGGTTCAGAAAGGGGATTAAATGTGGTTATTCCAGCAGATCTTGGCTGTGATATCATTCTCTCTAGCAATGGAATTTCTTGGTTTAAGACATTCATATTCCTAGTGCCTTATTGTTTTATTATATATTTGCAAATGTTTGGATGTACACTGTTCAGAATTTTTTGTGACCAGTGGCCTAAAGGCACATTAAAATAAGTAAATAAAATAGATCTATGTAGAGAGTAAGGAAAATGACTTCATTGAGAATATGCAAGAACTTGGCAAAAAAAAAAAGCCAAAACATTTTTAAGTCCTGAGAAACAAGATAATATTAAGAAGTAACAATGGCAGATGCCTCCTTGAATGATTGGGATACAAGAAATACAGGAAGTACAACACATTCAGACTTGCAAGATTCTGTTATTATAGCCAATCTTAATAAAAGTAGTTCTAATTTTCCTGTGGAGATGATTTCCTGGTCTGGTCTACCTAGTGGGGCTGACAATCTATCTATGACCCCTCTGACAATCCCACTATTATTTTAGGACCCATATTTAATCTAGTTGTGTTTGCATTGTAGAAAATATCATACATCTCATTTTCCTATCCAAATGAAAAGTAATGACACCCCATGTTGACTGCTCAATGCACTTTAATATTAGCCTTCTAACCTCTTTAAATTATGCCATTATCCATCCCCATATTGCTGGGGATAAAAGGATGACTTCTTTTGAATTATAATTTTACAAAATTACATTGTTTACTTTTTTACCAGAGATTTTAGTGGTGGTTGCCTGATGTCTTAATATTAGGATAATACAGTGCCTGTAGGTTACCACCAAGGACATTTTTTAAAAGTATATAATCCACCTAGTGTATTCAGAGTTGTATGAATATGCAAATCCACATATCCTTTTATGCATGCATTCAATTATTTATGTAGGCTTTATCACTAATTTATAGGCTAGTGAGAAATGTCAGTTGTAATCAAGACATTGTGGTATATGAGATTCAATATGCAGGGAGTCGTCCAAGCTTTCAGAAAGCTGGTTGTGAGCTTCGCTCCATATGAGTGTCCTAATATTAGCTGCTTGCAATAGTGTAATTCTAATGCTCATTTCAAGTCCTTCTTTGCCTTGTTTTGACATGATCGAATTGATACTACCGTGTTTCCCCAAAAATAAGACAGGGTCTTATTTTCTTTTGACCCCCGAAATAAGTACTTGGCCTTATTTTCAGGGAGGCCTTGTTATTTTTGAGGTGCAGGAGGCAGTGAATGCTACTGCTGGGTTGCAATATTTTTTGGGAGGGCTTATTTTCAGGGAGGGCTTATTTTAGCGCATGCACTCAAAAGCCTGATTGGGCTCATTATCCAGGGAGGTCTTATTTTCAGGGAAACAGGGTATATAATGTCATACTCAGACCCTATCCTTTCTGATCATTGATAATGCAAGCTGGAATTGATGAGAGTTTGAGTCCACTATTATCCTTGTAATACAGTCACATACCTTTCCCAACAAACAGATTCTTCAAGCATTACGCCTTGAGTGATCATTGGGTTACCTGTTTTCTGGATCATTTGGAAGACACTTCCTTGATATGTAGCACATTTTTAAGGGGATATTCTTCCCTTCCTTGAGGTCTTGCAGGGAAAGAGTTGGAGAAGCTTGCTTCTGAAAGGCTGATGAAGAATCCCAACTTACAGACGCCCCAGTTGAGGAATTCTTAAAATAAGGAGAGATTTCCTTCATGTATTTGACTAGAATAGAGAAAAACAACATAGAATTTTCAATATGCAATTCATTAAGTCTAAGTCTTAGTTGAAGATTGGTGAGCCATAAACAGATAACTGCTCTATAACATTTAATACCTAGGTAGCAGACCAAGCAGAAACTTACCTGGCCGCAATCCTCCCTTCTTTAATGAGAAGATTTGCATTTTATATATTATTTATACGCTTTCTTATAAATCAGTATAAAATTATGCAAAGGCCCTCTATTTGCAAGATTTTTTTATTATTATTTTTCATGACACATTAACAATTACCCCATCTGATGCTCTACACATAAATTAAAATAGTCATTAACAAAACTGAGTTCACAGGTATTGAAAAAAACAAATAATGTTATCACCATAGTCAAGGCAAGCTTAAGAGAAAGATTCATTGCAACTTTTTCTTTGGATTATTCAGTTCCTAGAGAGCATGAGTCATTAAATAACCAACATCTCTATCCTATCTTGTGTTTCTGTGATAAACACCACCAATGGCCACAGTTAGATAATACATTTGAAACTGCACGTAAATATGTTCTAGTCACACGTACAGTATATAGAATATAGTGGTAGTGGTAAAGGCATCAGGCTAGAAAGCAGAAGATTTTTATCTTGTCTTAGGCATGAAGACAGCTGGGTGGTTTTGAGCCACTCAGTTTTCTCAACCCTAGGAAAAAGGCAAGGGCAATCCACTTCCCCCCAAAAAAACTCATCAAGAAAACTGCAGGAATAGCCCAAGAAGTCATCAAGAGTCAAAACTGGCACACACACAAAAAGAAAGAAAGAAAAAAAAAGACATCTGTCTAGTATCTATCTATATGTCTGTCTGTCTCTCTATCTATCTATCATCTATCTATCATCTAAGTCTTAGAAAATGAAATAAAAACAATAAGAAAAATAAACAATACAAAATAAATTTAAAAATAGCTGTAGCCTAAGCATGTGTATATATGAAGAGCAATTTAAAGCAAAGGATAGACTTTTGTGCTGTAAATCTGATTCCATAATGTAATATGCAAGGTCTTCCCTCTAATAAGGCTATACTGTAATTGGTCCAAAATGGTAAAAACAGTTTAATTTTTGGTTTTTAAAATTATACTTTATCAGAATAACAAGAGATCCAGAATCCACAATAGCCACTGCACCAGTAGGCCCCATGGTGCCGCAATGGTTAGAATGCAGCCTAACGTATGCTGACTTAAGGGATTTGATTCTGAATGGCTCAAGGTTGACTCAGACTTCCATCCTTCCAAGGTTGGTAAAATGAACACCCAGATTATTGAGGTTAATATGCTGATTCTGTAAACTGCTTAGAGAGGGCTGTAAAGCACTATGAAGTGGTATATAAGTCTAAGTGGTATTGCTATAATTCAAACGTCAAAATAGTTAAGAAATGTTTGGGATACATAATTTTTGAAGATATATATAGAAAACATACAAACATGCCCTTTTTACTAACAGAAATTATAGAAAATTCTTGAAGGCTACTCAAAGCTCAGGCAAAAGGCCAGTTTTTTCTGGTTGCCAACTATTTACTGTCAAAAAGCCAGAAGCCTCTGATGACCTCTGCTGATGGGAAAATCTCATGAAGGAACAATCTGTCTTTTAGAATCTGGTACCCAAGAGTAGCTAATGGTGGTAGTAATAGTAATAGCAGTTGTAATTTATTATATGTCACCTGACTCCCAGTGATTCTGGGACATTGAAAGAATAAGCTTTCAAGGATATTATTAAATCATCCAAATAACAAACTGGCAATCAGCGGAGAGCTTTAAGAACTTCAGTTTTGATTCTCCTGTTGCGACACAGTTCTTGGCATCCACATACTGGACTAATTGAAGTGTTTGAATTCTTTCTGAAGATAGATCCAACTATAACGCACAAAGAAGTAAAGAATCCAAAGTGGGTGTGGGATGACGGCTGCTTGAACTGACACAATAGGTGTAGGTGCCATTCTTCCCAGGTTTAACTCAAGCATTAACAAATAAGCCTGCTCTTAGCAACAAACTTTTTTTTTTTGCAGCCCTGTGGTGGCCTGATGACTGCAGAACAACTTTTCCAGTGGCAGCATGCACAATGAATCAATCACGGAATGACTATCACATGCCAAAAAACACTCAGCACAGATCTACTCAACCCACATTCTCAAAATGCCAATATCGTTATGCAAATACACCAGATGGTAACTAACCCAAAGCCTTTCTCTTTTGCTTCAGGCCAATTCCAATATTGATACAGAAAAATAAAATAAATTTGTGTCCCATGTTGTTGCTTCTACTGGAAACGCTTCATTAAATGTATTCAGCCTAGTTTCTTCCCCTTTCTAGTTTGATATATCCTCTTCAGAATAATCAGCCTTCTTATTAGACAGCCTTCTGATATGTTCCGGAAAAGGATTTCCTTTTCTTTAAACTGCCAGAGTGTTTCTGAACCAGGAATATGCACTCCCTATATCTATATGCCATACACTACACAATGCACAAGGCTTCAATACACCCTTTTGTATTGGCATGTTCTCTGAACTAAATGGCTATGTGGCATGTTTTGCAGATGTTGTTTTTGTGAAGGATGGAAACATTTCAATGAAAACTATTTCAAGTAGGATTAGGGTTCCGTGCATAAGGTTGGACCTTGAAGCTAAGCTCTGATTCACAACATACTGTTTTGTGATGGCTGCACCATCCAGCAGCCACTTAAACTGGTTGAATGGAGCAGAGAAACTGCCCAAAATTTGACAAAATATGCTAACCAGATTACATTTTTTACATGTGTTCCCAGCTTGACAGATAAAAGTCCCTACCTACACAAGCTGTTTTTGACTGCCAGCCAGCATTCCAGTGAAAAGCCACTGGGATGCCAGCCAACATCACACTGAGTGCAGCCCTATGGGAACCTCTGTCATTGCAATGGGCAGCTGATCAGCTGATAGGAGAAGGAGTGAAAAATAGCTTATGTATGCAAAGCTACATACTTCCGTACTTATTATTCAGCAGAAATGGAGCATGCAAAGAAAACCATTCATCAAACATTTGGAAGAATGACATTTGTTACATATGGGCTAAAAGATCAGGTGACAGACAAGAATTAATAATAAAAAACAATTACAATAACCTAGAATCACTTAGAATCAAGAAGCAATGGAGAGAATTACCCTTGAGGAAAAAAGACTGAGTGGAGCATTCAGAGATGCAACAGAATGCTGCACTGTTTCTCTGTTGTTCTAGAACAGGGGTGTTAAACTCAAGGCCTGCGAGGGGCTTAGATCTGGCCTGTGGGCCTGTCCTGGAGACAGTGAAGGACCGGCCTGCAGTGCCTCTGCTAGTGAAAATGGAGCTTGGGAGGGCTGCATGTGACTCTCCCGAGCTTCATTTTCACTGGCAGAGGGTTGCAAGAGGCATTCCCCAGCTCTGTTTTTGCTGGCAGAGGGCTGCAGTTGGTCATCACAGCCGAAACAGAGCTTGGGAGCCTACTTTTTGCTGGCAAAGCGCTCGGGCCACTGCAACCCCCCCAACATGAATGACATCGAGCTGGCCGCACTCACCCTGGCCCCCCAAGGTCAAATATAACCCTGATGAGGCCCTCAATGAAATCAAATTTGACACCCCTGTTCTAGAAGAAGGATCTTATGGTATAGGAAAGCAGGTTCGTTTCAGTTTCTGAACCTTGACAGAGATGGGCTCAATGAACTTTTGAGTTCTGTGGTTCTATGATAGTCCCACTAATGGAAATTCTGTTCTAGAAAATATGAATCAACTATAGAAAAGCTACATTCTGCTGGCATCTTCTGCACCAAGGATGAAAATACTCATAAAACTAGTAAAATGTCAAGGAAAAAATATATGATATTGATGATATTTTAACATTCTGAAATGCTGGATACATCCTATAATTATAATTATTGATGTTATTTACAGTTCCTTGGTGACAGCAGATTTAGAGTTATGCTTACAAGAAATATAGCACACAGAAATACAAGAATAAGATAAATCAAAGGGAAGTGTGTTTCAGGTAGGGCTTAATGACATAGCATCCATATATTGAAAACTGATACTCCACCAGCTGCCTTAACAACCTTCACAAGAATATTTTCAGAGGCTTCTCCAAAAGCTGAAGAGGCAAAGTGAGCTTTAAGCCAAGGTGAAACTCTGACTTGTCTTTTCAGCAGTGAATTTCAAAAAACAAAAACTACAGCTGGCTGCATCCATGATTCTTTCCTACAGATGCACATTTATAGCTGTTCTGACACTGAAAAGATTAAGGGAAAAAGATATGAATCACAAACAACTCATTTGTCCATCAGCAAGGGAAATGATATGGACTTTGTTTCATGAATTGGAGTTACTTCATTGCAGCTGATATTAAATAATTAAAGGATGCAATAAATTATGAATATTTCATTTGAGTTTTCTTTTCCCTCAGAGAGGAATCTGCATTCAAGTCCCCACACAGAAATCTGTAAACCATTTGGTCAATGATAAAATATGTGACAATTGGAAAATAATGTATAGCTTATATTAGTTTTGGATCCTAAGCAGTGGTGGGCTGCTGCCTGGTTGGACCGTTTTGGGCGAACTGGTAGTTGTGATCACTGGCTGGATCTGCCCACTTGCCCCTGCACTATCTTCTCCATTTATCACTAACTTTCTGGCTTGTTCCCCCCCTCCCCCGCCCACACTGCCCAGCTGAGTTCCATGTCGTGCCTGCTGTACTCACAGGAGCTCCCTGTGTTGATTAGCTGCATGTTTGAAGCGTGACCCGTTTAAAGCGCGTACCTGACGTCATCAACAGCGCGACAAATACGACCGCGGGAAAAAAAGGGCGCTTTAAAAAGCGCTTTTACAGCAAGCTGATTCACATAAAGGTAAGGGTTAGGTTTAGGGTTACGTTAAGCATTAGGGTTAGGTTAAGGGTTAGCGTTAGGTTAAGGGTTAGGTATAGGGTTAGGTTAAGGGTTAGGTTTGGGGGGGGTTAGGGTAAGGTTTTCGC